GCGATCTTAACATCGATCTCGTCGAAGGACAGGAGGCACTAGCAAAAACTGAGGCAACCTTGGCTAACGCCCAAGAAGCTCTTGATGACAAACAACGAGAACTGATGGATAGCTACAAGAAGGTTTCAGAACTGCAGACCGCTCTAGATGCAGCTGTTCAAAGCAAAAATGATGCTCAGAGAGACCTCCAAGATGCCAAAGCTAGGATACATACATTGGAGGAAGAACTTCAAGAGGAGCTCAAACGGCAGGCTCAGCTGAGAGGTACTTTAGAAGAAATGAGAGCAAGGAATGAGGAGTTGAGGGATGAGATTACAAATCTACAGAAGAAGTTGTTGGAGCTTCAGCAAGAGGTAGATGACCTGCAGCGTGAGTTGTCAGAGAGGGACTATAGAATTGACCGTCTGCGGAACGACTACGACGCTCTGCAGAGTGATCTAAATGCCACCAAAGCAGATCTTTCTACTGCAAGGTCCGATCTGGAAAGAGCCCTAAGCGATAAAAGGGGGTTACAATACGAAAATCAGAAACTGCAGCTGCACAATTCGGAGCTCGACGCCTCATACTCGCTACTCAGAGACGAAAACGAGAGGCTTAAGTCAGAGTTGCAAGCTTTGCAAGTACAGCTGTCTGAGCTTCAATTTAGTTATAACACTTTGCAGAGGGATAGCGTCACTGTGGTGGAACAAAGCACTGTCGACGCTGCACCTGAGACTGACTTTGAAATAGAAGCTTTACGAGGAGAGTGCGAACGTTTGGCTCGTGAAGTTTCGGGACTAAATCGGAAAATAGTGACGTGGAAAGACAAGAGTGAAGGTCTAGAACAAGAGAAACTTCGACTGGAAGATAAAGTCTCGTCAATGCAGAAGACCATTAACAGCCTGGAGGCAACAAACCAAGGTTTGATCTCGGAAAAAATGCGGCTTCAAAATGATATTGATAAGCTTCAAAAGAAACTAATTGAGATAGAAGCACTGTTGGGCACAGCTGAAAATGAAAAACGCACCTTAGGAGACGACCTGGAAGACACGCAGAGGAGGCTTCTTAAACTGGAGGCTGATTACGAGTTGCTCAAAAAACGAACTGCACCTTCCGGTGGGTGGAGCTCATCATCAGATGCTGCCTTGAGAAGGAGTAAAGAAAGAGAAAATGAATTGCAGAATGAAGTCTTGGAGGCTCATACGAAGAATTCAAGCTTGGAGCACGAGCTTAAATCGACCCGCGAGCGATTGGAAAGTCTTCAAGATGCATACCATAAGGCAGAGGATAAGGCGGCACAGTTTAAAGAGGAAATTATTGTTTATCAGCAACGCATTGCAGAATTGCAAGCTAGTTACGCAAGTAGTCGCGAAAGAAACGCGCAATCAGATCAAGAAATCTTAGACTTGCAGCGGAAGCTAGAGGAGCTTGGAGACAGCAAGAAAACAAGTCATAAAGATAGGTCAGCCATGGAATATGAAATCAACTCACAGCGTTCAACGATTGCAAGGTTAGAATCACAGCTTGAAGACTCAAACAAGGAGAAAGACAGTCTCAGATTACAACTGGTAGATTCTCGCAACAAGAACGAGGAGGCTTCCAAAGAAGTAACCAAGCAAGTTACTGAGATTCACACCAAAAGTGAAGTGTTCAGGCGAGAAATTATTGAGAAGGAGACGGTAATTGAGCAGTTCAAAACCAGGGTCTTTACTATGGACAAAGAGTTGGACGCTCTTAGACGCGAGTTGCAGAACAAGACAAACGAGTGTAATACACTTCAACGGGAGATTGACCAACTGAAGTTTGAGTTGAACCAGCAGAAGCAAACTAGGTACGTAAGCGAAGACGAGCTTCGTGGAGAGATAGAATCTCTCAAGTTGAGATACGACGAAATCGAGGGTGAGAAAGACGCTCTTCGAAGAGAAAGAAACAATCTACAATACGAGCTTCGGTCGGTGAAGGATCAGCTGGATAATGTAGAGACAGTCTACAAAGACAGCACTGATGGATTACAACAGGCCAACAATGATCTTATTTCAAGTCAGGTCAGGATATCGGAGCTAGAAACAGAACTCCAGAGAGCAACTAAAGACAGCCAAAACCAGCAGCACCATTTGGACAAGGCCAATAAAGAGATAGTAAGTAAACAGGAACAGATCATTCGTTTTGAGAAAGATCTACGCACAATGAAGACAGACCTGGAGCTAATGAAGAAGAGCTGCGACGAAAAGGATGACAAGATTGGCATGCTTGAAAAGAAATGCGTCACGTTGGAGCTCGAGATCGAAAGACTGAAGAAAGATCTCTTTTTGGCTCAAGAAGATCAACAGCGAAGTGAAAGAAGGCTGAAAGACCTACAGGCCAGATCAGAAATTGCTAGAGTAGAAGTCAAACCCACCTACGAAACGAGCTTTGAGGTACGAAGAAGCCGAAAACCAGCTGATAATGTCTCTATTCAAGGGCGTGGCAGGAAAACTTCAACTCTTGCTATGGACATTGGAAAAGCCCCAAGTAGTCAGCCTGGATCGCCGAGATTAGAGCACGAGCCGCTGAATCGCAAAATGTCTGCTCCTGTGACGCAAAGCAGTCCTCGTTCTGCCTTCATCAGACCTGAAAAGGACTTGAGTGCAACATTTGAGGAACCAGTCATAGAGGTGCAAGCAAAGCCTGTAGAGGACGAAGCGTCGACTCCTGATGAAGTGTTCTCCAAAGATGCACCTCTGATTGTCAGATCCTACGGGGAAAATGAGATAGCAAATGGTATGACGTCGTTTGTTCTAACACGGACCCATTCACGAGTCAATGAGAGCCGTACAGAGTCCCGTACCGAGTCCACGACGGACAGACGAAGTACCACGAATCACGTGCGAAAATTCAACGAAGAAGTCGAGGTAAACCAGAGGACGATGACAAGTGTGACCAGTGTGTCAGAAGACTTAGCCTACGCTGAAGGAAAGATAACCACGCCTCGTGGTTATGGCAGCAGAGGAGGCTGGGACAGGAACTCTAATTATTATCTTTAAATTATGCTTTTTTTTTTAAAAAAGTGTACATAGTGGGACGCTTTTTATGTTAATTTCGTGAGCCTGGGGCCCACATAATTTTAGCGGGGTGAACGCATCAGAATTAAGAATCTGTTAAAATCGTAAGCCTTTTCAAGCGCGGTAAAATCATCGTATTGCAAGACATAGCCGAGAGAAAGGTATCTTTGTCCCGCCCGATTGGAGCAAGTTTAACGTAAACCATTTTATGTTGTGAGGGCTTTTGAAATTATTTTTTTTGGGGAAGTTGTCATAGGTTTTGTGGTTCTTTAGGAACAACAAAAATTTTTTGAAAAAACAGACGTTTATCTTGATTTTTACTTCCATCTGACAAATGTCTTTTAATCATTATTAGCTGAAAGATATAATTTATCTACTTTCTTCGTCAATTTGAAATTTTCAATGCAAGCTTTATTTAATCATTTCATCTCCAAAGTCATTTTGACTTCTAAAAAATTCATCAAAATTTATTTGAAATGGCATGATATTTCGTATTTTTTCCCTATACGTTATGATGTATAATTCGTAAGGTTTTGATCCCACTCTTAATATGGGAGATTAATATATTTTGATGCATCTTGTTTGGTTGTTGACGCAGTGTTTACATGGGTGTATGGTACTTTTTACAATTTTGCTATTTTTAGAAACCTGGTTTTGGAATTCATTGTTCTTAGTAACCGGATTTTATAGGTAAACATTGATAAAATGCATGTAGCGGATCTCGCCATAGTTAAAAGCTTGAGCGTTGTTTATAATGTATTTCATAGTTTGCAGACTTAGATGCTGAAATAAATAGTTGTTATCTTTCATTTGAGCGCATAATTATTCAATTATAACGTGCATAAGATGGAGCTTGAATAGTTCTCTTTAATGGATCATTTTACCCGTAAACCAGCAAGCCAGTTAAAGAACAGAGAGGATTTTTTGAGGAAATTATTGTCCTATTTCCCCGTGGACAGAGTTTTTAGAGGAAACATTTTGAAGCAATCCTTGAAAAATGAAACTTGTTTGTGGGAATGTTTTAAAAATATAAATTTTGAGCCTGTAACTCGCATTAGAAAGTAGCTACTTGCTCATTCAGTGAAATTGCCTCTCTAAGATGACCACCAACTGACCTGTGTGGCTAGCTGTTATGATAATCTCGAAAATGAGCAGCGAAAGCAATGCTAAACTTCTCGCTACAATTTCATCCCCCTCCCCCATACCCTCTCACCTCTCCCCCCAATAGAAGGAAAGCGAAAACAACCTAGCTTTACACTTTTGTTAATCTAATTTTGATTTGATTCAATTTTAGTCAAACATATAATAAGTAAGCTCGAGAGGTATTTATTACATTACAATGCCTCGAAATGACCTATTTTTTTTAAGCATTGTGAAGAAGTCTCTCTAATTGTTATGATATTTTCATCAATATTGTTTTAGCTTCTGGATTACATAATCGATCATGAAGCAGCTCCATCCCTTTCTTCCCCCACCCTCCTCTAGAACAGTAATGTTTTTTCTGTTAAAAACATTACGCTATCGACCTTGCTGATCCTAGCAGTATGCGGGCCGCGTGTCATTAGAACTTCGTAATAGACCCCACTCACCGAGGAGTCTTTGTGGCTCAGTGGTAGAGCATCGGAGCGCAAATCCGAAGGTCTGAGGTTCGATTCCTCATGGGGACTCAGAATTTTTCTTTGTCCCACGCTCGTGACAAGACGAAAAAAACATCTTTCTTAATTCTTCACCGAGCTCAAAAACTTACCATCCCTACTTTTCAGTCAAAACATGTTAGGCCCGTTTTGTGGAAGAACCTTGCCCCCCCCCCCCCCCCCACACACACACACACACACACACACACACACACACACACACACACACACACCCCCATGTACTGTTCCCCCACATTTAGTGTTGGGGAGGTCTAGTCGAGAGAAAAACACTCCATCTCATAATGGCAATGTCACCTCACTCCATCTCATAATGGCAATATCACCTCATAGCGTTGCTTTCTTCATTTGATTGTGTTTGTATTGCGTTATGTCTCCATCAAAACGATTGCAATAAGCTGTTCAACTTCGCTGTCGTGTAGCAGCGGTAAGCTTGGCAACAAAGAGGTATATTTTTTTTTATGATCTTTGTGTGAAACTAGTTTCCAAACTAAAGGGCTGTACAAGGTTATCACCGCCGCAGCATTTGACGCGCCCACAAACAACGCACTGACATACTTGGCGCAACTCGTTACGAAACGCTCTGTTCATCGTGGTATAGATGATTGGGTTGCAGACCGAATGCACGCCTGCTACAAGCGTTACTGAATGAAAAACAACGCGTGAAATGCTTATCGTTGGAAGTGACTGCAGAAAATGCACAATGACAAACGGGGTCCAACACACAACAAAAACGAAAAGCACCGTGAAAACCACTTGCGCTGTCTTCGTTTCGCGCCTAAAATTTTTCTGTGATTGTCTGCTGTCACTCCATCGTTGAACTTGTTTCTTGTGGAAACGCACTTTGAAGAAAATTCGCAGATAGCAGTAGAACATTGCTAATAATGGCATCACAAAACAGCTAATTATCACCAAAAGGATGTAGCCGCGTCCCTCGCTGAACGAAATCTTGCACATGGTGTTCAGAGAGCTATGTGCGTATTGGTTCCAACCAAGAACTGGAAGAACGCCAATGGTGATCGACCACGCCCATATTACGGCTAGTAGTACCCAGGCCTGTTTGGGGGTGACCTTACTGCCCGGTGGCGAAACTATTGCACGATACCTGGAGTGAGAACAGTCGGAATATGAGTGAAAAAAAAAAATGAAATAAACACCTAATCTTGTCACTGAAAGTTGTAGGTAAGACAGCATCACGCTTGCAAAAAAAGATTCCTCACTTTCAGATTCAAGAAATCTAGTTTCCCGGGAATGTTTCTTTCCGCTGTCTCGTCAAACTCACAACAGAAAATTTCGCTAGCTATTCCTCAAGAGTTTTCCAAAATTGGCTAAAAAACTAAAAATGAGATTACTTAAATAAAAGCTTTACACGTCTAATTGAATCTCCTAACATGATCATCTTATCCCTAAAAACCGAAAGCTGAATGTATAACCATCTACGAAGAGATATCTCTTTGGGATCTCGTTCAAATGTACCTAAAGAGATTGAAATTACAAGCCTGTTCTCCTCATCTCCTCAAAGAAACAGTTTCATACCTGTCAAAGCTGATAACCGCCATTGTCAGGATGGAAGCTGCACCCGCAATCATATTAGTGGCGCCATTGAACTGACATAACGCCTCTCCAAAGGCCCATCGACGAAGTAGAATCGTCACAACGGAAAAGGGAAACAGTAATACTGCAACGGAGAGGTCCACAACAGCGAGATTGGCGATGAACATGTTTGCCACTCGCACGCTGGGACGGCTTCTTTGGCGAAAAGTTACGATAAGCACCATAAGATTTCCAAGAACTATAAGAGTCATTATCAAGATGATTACACTGGCGTGAAGAGCCGTTTTCAAATTGTTAGCATTTGAATCGGAACAGTTCTTTTCTATTACCAAACTTTCGTTTTGTAGCAAGCTCATTGTCTTGTGGTGCGAGTTGTTCCGGAATTCTTTTCTTCCGGACACTCGAGATGTTCTGTAAGGAAAAAAAGTACAGACGAGGTAAATTGCTAGAAAATCGCGCAAATGAGAATTGGATTTGATAAAAATTACGTATTGAAAATAAAGGAAATAGATGAATACAACCAACTTGTTTCTTCTGTAAAACAGAGGCTGAAAAGACAATTCCAAGATTCGCGAAGCACTCAAATATATAACAAAACCTGATTAAGGACACTATGTGCTTGTGCTCTTCAACAATATATTTCTGAACTCATCATGTATTGCGCAGTTTATTTTAAAAACACCACGCATGATTTTAATTTGTTGTTTAACTATCTTTGCTTGAGGCGGAAACTCGGTTTTCTTTCAAAACAAACATATGTCTGAGTGTATAAACTAATCCGCGGTTGTTAATTGTTCTCCGCTTTGCTTTTCTCCTTTTGGCGGGAATGTATCACTAAGAATGAGCGGCTGCCTTTCCAAAATCAATATAGTTTCGGCCATTAACTGAAGACGCCTTCATTTAAAAGTATTGGCGGGGCCCTTTTGAATAGTTACATTTGATGACCAAAATTAGCTTTCAAGAAATGAAGAACACTGTGTTTGTACAGTAAAAAGCTTAAGATAAACAAGCATATGTTTCTGATTGCTTTTGTTTCAGTGTTAATTGCTTTTTGTTATTTTCATAGAATATTCTTTATGATTCAGGGTCTTATTCAAGTTTTTCATAGCTCTAACTTTTAGAGAAATTTTTATTGAATCAATACCATTAATAAGCCATCATTCTAAATTCGTTTTTTTTTCAGTGTTTACATAGCCTTTTTGAGATATTCACTGTTAAGCAGCATAAACGAAGGTCTTCTGAGGCATAATGAATCCAAAGCACCTATGTATATCTATTTGTCATTTTACGTCCGGAATCCGATCCATTAGACATTTAAATGAGGTACTTCCAAAGATTAGATAGTGTCACGTCCGATGATGACCTGTAAAACATTTAGCGATTGACTTCAATTGGATAAAGACAGAAATAAAGGATGATCGGTTATTGAATACGGCAAAACCCAAATGTTGGCGACTATTAGCCACAGTCGGATCAGAAACAGGCAAGCGGCTGATAGCAAACGCGGTTTTAACGTGCCTTGTACGTGAGCCTGGAAAACTGGATCGATTACACGAAATCGAGGCTCACCTGTAAACTTCCCGGGGGAGAGAGAGAGAGAGAGCGAGAGAGAGAGAGGGAAGACCTTGTGTCTTAAGTGCAATGTCACAGTGAAAAACCACATCTTGCTAAAGGTTTAACCCAAAATTCGATACACAAAAGGGTGATTTATGTGAAACTTTTTCGCGGAAAACGCAAGAGAGTAAACTGTTTCTGACATCATGACATTTCAACGAATATTTTTTAGGCGCTCCGTCGAGGCCTGAGTGAAAAAATTCGAGGTCGTTTAAGTTCATTCTCAAATCGCTGTTGAGGTTCTAGAGCGCATTTGTAAGTTCAAGAGTTTCATGCGAGGTTGCAAGACCTGGTGAAGGAGGGGATAACATCTTACACAGACTTTTCAAATTCTGTTCACAAGCCTATCACGTGGCAAATCCAAATATGCCACGTGAAGTAAGTCTGATAATCGTACGAAGACTGCATGTGCTTGGATTTCACTACTGCGTGCTCTTGAGTACCCCAGATTTGCGTCCAGTCTTCGATAAATATAGAAACGAAGACATTTTGGACTTACCACCTGCTAATTCTATTAAAACGCATTTCTTTCACTATGATATAGTATTCACTGACTACATAACAGTTCTGAAATATAACTTTCACCCAATGTTTCTTTCTGTTTTTTTGTCTTCTTTTTCGGCTTTAACGTAGGTACAGAGAAAGAAAGTAAACGCTTAATTATTGTGTCTGCCATTCTAAACTTCGCCTACTCAAAGTTGCCGCTAAATTTAAAATTATACAGCACTTAGAGCGTAAATGTTGCTAAATTCGCATCCCAAAAAACGCGTGGTATTGATTTTTACGCGGCAGTGGAAATTGCTTACCCACGTTTTACGTATGGAAAAAAAATTGCGACACTGGAAATCCACCTTGCATCATTGGCGAAGTTTTGCGACGGAGCGCACGATTTCCTGCCATGCGAGAATGATCTGTACAACTCTTCATCAGGTTTCCAGCGAGGAGATTATGGTGCCAAACTCCCATTCGTCATTGTACATAAAATACAGAACTTTTTCCGTTAAGAAGATTTGTTCAAGATTTTCCGCAGCTTGCCATTATATTTTGTAGCTGGCACAAAGTTAAACATGGAATATTCAAGGTTTGAAAACAGAAACGTCACCAAGTAGAAAACACGAGTGGCAGCTAGATCTGTCATGTAACCTACAACGCACCCGCGAGAAACCTAAAATTTGGATTCACAAAAATTATCGAGAGATCAAAATTTCGCCGGAGACCGTCCTTATACATTTGATTATAATTAGTAGATATTCATTATGGGATTGCAGAGAGACTAAATTATCTCCATCTGTCAATGGTTTTAGATTTAAACTCCAAATAAAATACGAAACTGAAAAATATATTGCAACTAAAGACAATATTCTATCTGGATTTAAAAATGCCCAAAATATCGATAAATCTTCCCCACTTTATTTTGTAGGATTATGTTACAATGTTACAATGAACAAAAACACTTTCAGTTTAGCCAGTCTTCATGCGCGCGCACGATATAATAGCTTATAACCCATGATAGTTAAGCCAATAAAAACTCTCGAATTGCATTATTCCGTGATCCAGTTATAAATAATCTCCTTTAGCGACTTCACTCTCGAATCGTAATTACCATATTTCCTCGAATAGGAGCCCACGCTCAAATGAACTTCCTTCCCCCGACCAAGCATCCGCCCGCTAAACCAGAATATTAAACAAACGCCCCCTTCCCCCTCCTCCTGTTTCTATTGCAACACTATTTAGGACTTTGTTAGCTTCGACCGCAACAGACTCATCACAGGAGAATAACAAGCGTCTCACTAGAGGACGCCCCCTCCTTCTTACACGGGCCCCTCCTTTTCGCCGAAATTTTAAATAAGCGTCCGGGCGCTTACTCGAAGAAATACGGCATTTGATGATAGACCACAACTAACCAGACGTTCACCTAAATGTGTTCGACTAGTGCCGTGTTCTATTTTGTGGACAGATATTTACAGCGAGATAGCCTCCTATACTGTAATTAACAATTATTCATAATTGAAGACATCTTCCCCTCACTTCCCACTCATATCGAAATTAACTCCATACAGTGTATGAGGAGATGCAGTTTAAGTAATTGCTAATTGATGTACACCTTACAAGGTCAATTAGAAATTCAGAAGTTTATGATCTAACACCCAGTACAACTTTACTGACCAATGATCTACGGGGTGGCTTACTGCAATGGCGCAATCAAGCAAGGTCCTTTTTCTGTTGTGGCTGTTGAGATCAAGAGCTGATTGATAATTCTCCCCTCTAGCTGCTACAAATTTCCTTATAAATCAGATACGAGAATTTGGTGTTAGATCACGACAACAATCTCTACTTGATAAGTTTGAGTATTCTCACGACAAGTTTGCAGAATAATGTATTAATATTATGGGGGAAACTAAATATTTCTCATTCCTTGGAGCAATCAGTGCACCCAAGATGAAGCCTTTAGCATATTCAAATGAAAGTTTCAAGAAAATTAAATAAAATTTAGTCATTCGGTAAAATCTCACCATAGATACTCCAGGTGGTTTTAAATCCAACCTCAAGCTTAAAATATAAAATTATTTTCCAGTGTCTTTAAATTTCTTAGATTTGCTTCTCCTTAACATGTGCAATGTCCCTAAAACATAGGTGTATTTACAATTGGTAGAAAAAAATTGGTTCTACCATGCAAGACAAGACCAATGACGGTTTTCTCTACGTCGCATCGCAATGTCAATAAATATTACCATTATTTTACCAAAACACAGACCTAATTTTTCATTATTAAGTTGAGGAATCACTGTGCAATAGTAAAATAACAAGTATTTCACAGATTGAGATTAAACATTTGTTAACTCCGTTACTCCATTTTAATTTGTGCAAAATAACAACAAATAAATACTTATGATAGGTTTCTCTTTAATTCATATGAACTAAGTTGTCATAAACAGCAAAAAGGAACCCATGTTTGCTGTAACCCCATATAATCTGAAATAATTAGCAATAATAATGTTAAAATCCTTGGGAATTAAAGAGCCTGGAGATTACATGATTGATCCACTTAAAATTAAGAATAATTTCCATGTTTACAGTGCAACTGCTGTTACAAAAAGGCACTTGCACAAAACCGAGTGATTTGATTCTACAACAGGAGCAATGAATCCCAAAATTTTGATCCAAGACACTGTGTGTCACAATTAAATTCAGCTGGAATCATTATTTGTCCTGCACAATGTGATAGGTTAAGGGTAATTTAGTAAGTGACCCTAGTTATAACAGTGGTATTGTAACATTCACCACTTCCACTTTCATAGTTTTTGACAATATATTCTACAAACTGAGAATTGCCACTTTAATGAAAGCACAACATCTCTTCTTCTTAATGAACAGAATATAGAAAAGGTATTGCTAAGTTCCCTTGTGCAAAGATTCTTTTGGTGAATCAAAACAAGTATTATTCTTTAAGTAAATGTATACTTACTAATATGAATATTCCATTTTGTTTTCATAAGCTTTAATTTCAACTGAATTATTAAAAAATGATTTTGTGCATTGCTATAAATAGATAATTTTTTTATTTCATCACAAGTATTTTCCTAGTTTTCCTATCTGGCCAGTCACACCAAGAAATGTTATGCACATGGATAAAATCTTGCAGAATATATGATCATTTTTCACATTCGATGTATAGACCATAACCTTATAAAATAGTTTTCCTCTGCATATCAAGTGATTCCGCACCTACTACCAGCATTCA